TAAACAGGTAAAAGAATTTAATTTATCCTGTTTGTACTATCAAATCATTTCAAACTGTTAAAAACTATTTTTTTTAATATTTTGTTATTAGGGGTGGTTTTTTAAGGGTTGAAATATTGTAATAAATTATTTATAATACCGTAAACTATTACCTATAATATATGCGCTATTATTAGAAACTATTAATTTTATATTTTTATCATTAAGGGTGGTTTTAAAGGGTTGAAACTTTATAAAAATGTAAATTATAACCCACAATATAAAATACTTTGTCTGTATCCCGGAAACCCCCTCCTCTTTTTTTTTTCAATATAAGCGGACAACCATGGTAAAACATTAATTTAATTTGACTTTAGAACCCAGAACACAGAAGCAAAAAAAATATATTTACACAACAGGCCGAATTCACAAAAACATCGAACTGTAAATAAGGCTTTTCAATCATCAAAGCTGTGTGATCAGTTTGAAACAGTATTCCAGTGTTTGTTCCACACTCTCTCGTTTCTAAGGGTTTTTTTATTAAACTTCTAACACTTCAAAGAGATTGCAATAAATAAACTTCGACTTTTTAATACACTAGCGAGCAAACCTTCCATTTAAAAATCCTTGCACTACGAAAGGGCACGGAAACAGGATATTAAACTTCTCCTTCTTTGAAACGGATTCCCAAAGCATTTTCAATTAACTAATAAAACAAAATGGGTTCTGCAAAACATAAAGCAATGTTCAGTGTACTGGGTGGGAATTGATTAAATGCAATAATTTCTTATGGACATAAGCGGCGACGTCTTAGAGGACGTTATGCTCAAAAATACACCTTCTAATTTTCAAACTCAGGACTCTCGAAACTTCATTCGTCTCAGAATACTTTTAATATAGGAGATAGCCAAGTATGCAGCAGTCTTATTTTCCAAGGTTAATTAAATGTGATAAGGTAGATTTACAGATTACACCCTACTTGAAATAAGAAAGGGATTTAATTATGAAAGTTTTTATTCAATTCTTAGAAACTTGTACGAATAAATAAATGAATTTTTAGAGATGTACTATTTTATTTTCAGTCACTATAACATCGTTTTCAGAATTGAATTGTCTTTAATTATTCTCTTGTTATTGTCTTTAATTATGTTCTAGTTGCCTCCGAAATTTTAGTGATCTTTATTTTAAAATTTGTCCTTGAAAGTTCATTATTTTATTTAAAAATCTAATAAGAAAGATTAAGTGAGCCAAGTGCAAACTTTACCTTGTATATGAAAAAGCGATACGATCAAATTTAAGAACCCCACTAATAAAAGCAACAAACTTTTAACTACAGTTTCCTTAAACATAGCCTAAAAGCCAGATAAACCCAGGAAAGAATTTATATTTACCATATTATCTCTTGCAATGTTATGATAAAAGTTTTTACGGGCCTGTAAGAGAAAATTACCTATCCCTATAAGGTATATTCCACATTTAGAGCCGCATTACTAAATTCTTTACCTTTGTGTTATTTACTTTTATGTCACGGGTCTGACAAGCCATTACATAAAACGAGAAAGAAGCCTCTTGGCTAGACAGAGACATATAAATATTTCAGAGAAGGTTTGGGGGAAATATCTGGAGTATTTATAAGCAAAGTAACAGAAATGTATTTGTTTACACAAATTATATGTCCAACGGGGGAATATCAGTTAGAACACAAAGTTTACAGTTGAATCAGAAGAACAAATAAATAAATTTACAAACAAACCGTTATAAGCGAGATGGTTGACACACGAGGAATATTCGTTATTCAACGCTTGAAAGTTAGAAAAGATTCTTAGGGATATTGTACACGATAACCTAAACTGGAGAGCAATATTCAGGCTTGGATCGAACACATGCATTATATAATGAAAACAGAACTTTTCATGAGATTCGGGGACTCGTCTAACGATAAACCCCAATGCTTTAAGTGATAAAATAAACAAATATCGAATGTAATCTGAAAAAGAGATATTACCATAACAGCAAACTCCCAAAGATATGATTTTTAAATCGTCAGCATAGATCAGTTTGTGACAGTTGAATAAACTATATCATTTATTAAAATAAAATATGGAAGAGGACCTAGATTAGAGCCCTGGGGTATTCCAGATCTGATGAAGGTCCCGACTAGGCTTAAGTCCGTTATATGGTGTCATATTGTAAGAATTCAACAAATGTAACCTAAAAAGCGTTAGCAAAAAGATTTATAATAAGTTTTTGCAGAAATATGCTTTGATTTATAGAGACAAAAACCTTTATAACATCCGCCTGACCAAACTCATCAATAAGTTTAGAAATTAACTAGGTAATAAAATTTGTTGAAACTTAATAAAAAATGGAGAAATGCAATTGTACAATGTATCTGATAGATCTTCATTTTCAATGATTAGATAACAGTTGCCACTTTCTACGCACCAGGAAAAATATTTTATCAAGTGAGAGTTAAATAAGGGTCCAAACGTTTCGGGATTCTTCACTGTCGGCATCCTCAGCGACTTCATTTTAGTCGCGCTCGGTGGTTTTAAATATGATCTTTTTGAAAGAGAACATTGAAATTACTAGTATAAAAAGATTTTATTAATGGTTGTAAACCATAAATTCTAATTCCTACAAATTTCTCAAGCCAAAATATTGGAAAGCGAGATTTATTCGGTAACCCAATTATTGAGGTTAGTTAAATATTAATCAAGTTCGCT